ATTGGCACATTAGATGAACTTCTACCGGAAGCTGAATCACCACTGCTAACCAAACCAGCTGAAGGACATTTACAGTGGTCGTGTCCTGTTTGGGAACATATGCCACATTTACGCGCATAAACGGTATCACCAACACCCATTTGGTTCCGTATATGCGTGCTTTTCTGCACTTGTTGTTGACGCATATACTCCTTGTTACATACCATTTTAAATAGTTTTGGCGACCAATAATACTCAGCACCCACTGGCTGCAGCTGTCCACTATAAGTGTTTAAGTATGCAGCAAGACTATATTCTTTATCAACGTACATCGTTGCCATAAAACCTGTATGTTGAAAGCACTTCATGGCATGTGAGCACGGCATGTAGTAGATGGACCATTTAACACAGGAGCATAACCTTCTGGCTTCATTGACGGTGTGTGTATTATTTCCCTTTTTGTGATGGATAGCGGTGCAAACTTCAAAAATATTTCACTCGTTGAAATACTGCAAAAATGAATGCCACTATGCTAGCCTCCTGTATTTCTCAAATCTTTTCATTGGTATTGGTATGAATTCAACACCCCTTTCCATCAATGAGGATGCACCTCTAGACCTTTCAACAAACCTCTCCGCCATATGCTTGAATGTCATCCGCACCATGGCAGTGACAGACAATCCACATGCAGACTTCAATAACCCCTTTGAAATATTGTGACACGTTTGTAGTTGGAATTCTCCATCTTTTGCCACCTTCCGCATGCAAAGTCCACTTGTCAAGCTCATGTCGCATCAACCAAGTATAGGCTCATTGTTCTTTCTACCTGATCAATTCCATCCGCCTCCTGAATTTACACTCTTGGTGATCTGTTGCGGCCATCCACATTAAATCATGCAAGTTCTTGTTCGGATGAGCCCTTTGGAAGTTGGCCTTCAGGTATATCACACAGTAACGGTAATAGGCATACGGTTACTTCCATGCACGCAAAGTTTATACAAAACTTAAAATACCGCCATGATGATAAGATATTAGGCAAATACATGAACGTTATCTGGCAACGTGCTCCTTCAAGTAGTTCAAAAATAATGTCCACGTCTCTTGGCTTTCATTGGCACAAATAGCAAATGCTAGGGGAAATATACTTCCATTGGCATCTACTGCAACGTCGATCAACAACTTAATATCATACTTTCCATAGACATGGGTATCGTCTATGGATATTACCGGCCGACAATGTACAAAATCATCAATGGCTGGTTTAAATGCCCAGAACACAATGAATATGTGTTCTGGTATTCCCGAACTCCGCTCAAGCTTCCATTCAACAATAGTCCCGGGGTTAAAGTGTTGCAAAAAGCATGCCCTTTGACAGCACCGTTTCTCTAGATTTATCCCATACTGCTGTCCGAATTTCGTCAAGATCCCTTGTGAGGGCATCCATATCTGGCATACTTGGCAAATGATCAAGGTAGGGAATCTCTCTTGAATGAAATGACACGTGGAACTCGTACACTCTTGGTCTAGCGGGAGGTGGATCATGCTCCCTCGTCAAATCAGGTTCAGCATTCTCTTCCTCCTTATCATCACACTCATCACGGAAGGGTGTATCATCTCCAGACTCAACAACATTGTTGTCATAATCCCTATTCTCTTCCTGACTCTGCGTATTTTCCAAATCCAGATTAAATATGTCGTCTTCGGCCAATTGAGTAAGGATATGACTTTTAAGTTGCTCGTTTTCACTGCACAACCAATAAAATAATGAGTTTCTCAAATTGATCCAAACTTTATATATAGCTTTATCACTGTACTTACAAATCATAATGTGTTGATATCCCATGATGGACATTATCCTGTTGATGATGACTCCCAGATGGACCACTATGATCCAACACACCAAAACTAGGCATATTCCAACTGGCGTTGGTTCATAACTTGTAAAATTCATATCTAGTCGGTACTCCCTATGGAATATATGAGTGTTAATACAAATTCATTACATAAAAATAAACATCGTAACACAAAGAAAAATTGAAGTTTACCACTCGCCTTGTGGATTATGTAAACTAGGGGAGAAATTATTTTCTCGCTCCTCATTCGCCCGTGGAGATAAGTTTAGATCACGCCAAACTCTTTCACCCAAAACCTGTTCGGCTAAAACTGCTCCAAAATAACCACCCGATCATTGAAGTATATCCTTACTTTGCGCAACCTCATTATTGCGAACGTCTTCAGCCTTGACGTACATTTCTAATATTTTTATTACAAGAATTTTCGGTATTCATCCGGAGTCCTCAAAAAATCTCTGAGAGTTTCATCGTCTTTGATGTTAAAATCAGTATAACAAGCAACCCCTTGCGGAGTGATAGAATACAAATATCTTTCGGTTACTTTAATATTCACTGAACGTTTGCTCACACTCATTTTTTAACATAACAACGATACTAATGTATCGTACTCCATTGTAAGTGACAACTTAACATGATACTGTGGAGAACAACTATAGTGTACTGAGTTATTCTCTACCATAACCCCCTCCCTCCCCCCCCTCCCCTCCAAATATAATGAAACCCTAATTCTTCGCTCTTCAGATATTATGACAAAATGCAAAATAACTTAACGAACAAATATTTTAGAAGACTTGAAGGATTCTGAATAGATTATTACAAAATCCTCCTGAAACTCTTTAAATAAGCAAAACATTGATGTATAACGCCTTAAATATGGGCACTATGCCCAGTAGAATTATTGGTCTGTCAATTAAGTACAGTGGGCCCAAATTTTATGTATAGCGCGGTCATTCACTGTATTATACCATGTTGAATTACTGGTGTGCCAGTTAATACCAGAAGAATTATTGGTGAGCCCCATCATTAAGTATAGTGCGGTTATTCACTGCGCTATATCTTAACGGCCAAACGTGCCGTTATGGTATAGCGCGGTATTTCACCGCGCTATACATATTATGGTTGCCAATATTGTTTTCACATATTTTGATTATTTGAGTCCAAAAGAACCATATTTTGATTCTGGACTCTATAGTATAGCTACTACTATCTACAAAGACTGAATAGGAAGGATGAATCAATTTGGTTAGTTCGAATATATCTTTAATTCATAAAATAAATAAGTTCTATTTTTAATACAATTTTTACGCTTAATAAATATATTCCAAAAAATGACAAAAGAAAAATAACATTTCATGAAAGAGCGCCTCTAATAAAAAGTTTATTTAAAAGAATAGCTTAATTACTACATATTCTTCGTTTTACTAAATTAATTTACCTTTATTGTTCTTGGGTTAATATTTTCATCTTAATTGTCGTATTCTATGACAATTATTTTCATCTTAATCGTCGACGTTCAATTTATAATAATCAACTCTAAACGACTATTGACCAAGCTATTTAATTTTTTCTTTTTCAAAACTTAGTAGAAGATATTATGCAAATTACACTTCAATATATAAATTAATATAATATCATTAAAAAGAGAGAAATTATATATTAAGTAAAACCCATTCAAATTACCTATAGGAAAAAATGCTCATGAAGTAAGGTATAATGATAGAAACAAATGAGGACCAGTATACAAAAGTTTGAAAAATGAAAAAGGAGAGAGAGACTAAGCTAATAAAAGGAAGAAAGGGAGGAAGAGAAAACAAAGAGAAAAAAAGGAAAAAGAGGCGAGGTCGAGAAAATGAAGGGAAAAAAAAGGGAAAAAAGATGGGGCTCTAGAGCCCAACTGAGAATAAAGGAAATCCTTAACCTAACAAAGTAGAACAAAACGAGAAAAAAAAAAAGACAAAGAAGATGTGCTACATCAAAAGGATTGGAGCTCGCATTCGCGAGGCCACCAAAAGCATTTAAAGCTAAATCAGTGGCACCTCTGCCTACTTCATGATTTTTGGGTGCCAGCTATCTCATATACATACTAAGAATTTTAACGAAGCGAGTGGGTGATGTGACACCCCTACCTCACAAGGTAAATCCGCCCCTGAATATAACCCATACATGTGAATCTAATACTTCATGTAATACTAGACTAGAGAGAACCTTAGAATCGAAAGCTTGTAAATGAAGTTGCACCCATATAAAAGATACATATGAATTCGTAGTAGTAATTTATAATCTCATTTGATATGTTTTATAAGTTTGAATCTACCTTTAGTTAGTCTTATTCATGTAATAGTAAAATATCTATTCTTATGGTATTCCATATTCAGTAACTTTCACGCAAATTAAAATTTTGACCTATTGCGCCTACTAATTAAAGAAAAGAGGAAAAAGAAAGAAATATTAATTAATCAAAGGACCAGTTCTTGACTGGAGGGGATACCAAAGGCCTCTGCTCTTCCATCCCTTGGATAGATAGAGAGGGAGGGCAGATCGGACTTAGTGAGTTTGATAAATTGTTGGTACCAGCCCTACATTTTGTCTGTACTGATAGAGAAAAAACGTGGCTCGACGGGAAGAGGAGTGTACCGTGAGAGAAGCAAGGCAGAGGCGGAGCTAGCCCATCGATTACGGGTTCGGCTGAATCCAGTCACTTTGATCCAAATCAGGTATTTATCTTAAGAAATTCATTAAATATGTAAAAATTATTAATTTAAAACCTAGTAACTTAAAAGGAGTAGAACCTCGAACCCATAAGCTCTAAATCATAAATTCACCTTTTAAGCAAGGAGGTCAACCTGGATTCTAGCAATATAGTTGACTCTCGTGTGTCGATCCAAATGAAACATCTTTTCCAAGAAGGTAAATCTTTCCATACGTTATCTCGCACAAAATAATATAAATTTCCGTATAACTTAACGGGAACAATACACTTCCCATTAAGGAACTCTTGTGGGCCAAAAGTTGTACCAAACCAGATGGTAAATCTTTGATGAATTTGTTATTATACTCCCAAGTTTTAGATGGTCCACATAATTTAGGAAAGTTATGTTAGGACAATTTACTTTTACAGATTTGATCATATCATTGACCTCTGACCTAAAAATATATCAACTGCACAAATGGAATAAATGTTTGCACTTTATACTATGAACTTTCATGTGTGACTAATGACAACTTTGTAAAATCCAGCTCCTATGATACATTTGGCTAGATTTTACATATATCTACTAGTATACCCTTGCACAATCTAATTTCAAGTACATTGCTAGTAACCTATTGGATATAATATAAATATATATATTTTGTCAAAAAAAAATGGTGACAAAACTAAGAATTGATAAAAATTTACAATCAAAAAAAGGAAAAGCTTAGAAGCAATTTTTTTTTTTATAACCGAGAAATCCCCAAGGCCTAGATGCGCACGGTTTGAAACTTGGTGGATAACACCAGGCTTTTGTCTGCGGCATGGTTTAAGCTCGCAACGTGCTCCTAATCCACACATTACGTGTTGCCTCTTGCCACTACACCAAAGCCCTTTGCGCAAAACTCTCATAAACGAATTGGCAATCCATAGTTGAGGAATGTTCTAATGCATCCGTCCCATCCGGCAGTGACAACCACAAGACCCCACAAATGGCTCGAACTCAATGCACTTTGCCAAGCACTCTTCAAGATCTTGCATTCGGATTTAGATATAGAAGGGGATGCATTTGCTGGATTTGAATCGGGCAATTTCTCCTCCGGCCACGTTGGAGAGCCCTTTAATAGTGAATCCAAGAAAGACGCACGTCCCAAGGAGAAGCAATCTTGTAAAGATGAAGTCTTTGGCTGCGAGTTCTCGTTGACATCACCATTTGCTAAAACACTTCCTGGTGATAGTGTCCCGGGATTGGTTTTAAAGCCACACCATGGTATTGTAACCGATGCATTTTGGGAAAGGAAACTCTCAGATGACCGGACTTTCTTTGCTTGGCTAGTTGTCCCGTCCTCATTACTATAGTTCCAGATATAAACATTTGAATCCTCAGTAACCGCGAGAATGTGTTTCCCATCGGAAGTGAATGATGCAGGACATTGACTACCCAAATTTTGAGTTCCTGGACATGCAGCAGACAACACTTTGAGAAAATCTACCGAGTATTAAATTAGAATGGGAATAACTCCAAACACCTTATGCTTGGAGTTAACCAACACACCTTTGAATTTACAGATGATGTTGGATCCAGAAAGTATTCGAACTTGTGAATCAGCAGAAGTAACCATGACTTTGCTTGAGTCGTTCGGGCAGTACTGTATGATGAAAGTTCACGTTAATTCTCAAGCGCATAAAATCAGTACAAAAGATCATTCTTGTGAAAAATAAGGTAAGGAGACAAATAGTTACCTGAAATCCGGTTACTCTCTTGTTAGTAAGCTTCTTCTTTTCTTGCAGGCATACCTGCGAGCCCATCTGTAAACGATTACCTAACCCCAAGAAATGAGAGTCCATTAACTTAAAAAGTATCAACTGCTTACAACTGACACAGCTGTAGCATAAAAATGAAACTGCGTCCAGCATTTCCACATGTCATTTCTTTATTTTTAATGCACAAGGTTGTATACCACTTGCAATAAAGGAAGATAATACTTTTCATCTCATAACCTGTAGTTTGGACGGTTGGAATCCATGCCAAATCTTCTACTACCAAGTAATGAGAGAGAGAACACATATGTCTAAACCATGAAAGACAAGCCCGAGATGACTTCAAGTCTTATGATTAACAAACATTCTCAACCCCCACTCCCAACCTTACCGCCAACCAATAGACTAACAGAAAACCACAATACCAATCTGCATTAGCCTCTTCCAAGTAACTTCGTGTTATCTATATATCATAGCAGAACATTACTGGGAGGCGGAGCCGCTAGGATTTGAAGCTTATGGGTTCCGAATTCTAATCTTTTTAAGCTATTGGGTTCTAAATTAATAATTTGTATATATTCAATGTTTTTCTTAAGAAAAATACAGGGTTTAGACTAAAGCTATTTTGTTCGGCTGAACCCGCAACTGAAGGATTAGCTATGCCCCAACCTTTTTAAGCTATTGTTGTTCTATTCTTGGAGCTAATATTGTAAACATCTATCTGAACGACAGTGCAAAAATGAAAAGGACCAGAAAAAAGGGTATGAAAACAGACAAGCTTCCGTACCTACTACATCATAAAAACGGCAATTGCCATCCATGTATCCCACAACACCCCCCTGCAGCAGTCACAAGCGACAAACTTAAATAAGTTCCATTTGAAATCAAGTACCATCTTTATAAAGGTAAAAAAACAAGGCAATCAAACCTTTCCATCAGGACAATAACAAACAGCAGTCACTATTTCTTTTAAATCAGTCCAATCAATTACTCGACAACCGTGCACGTCCCAGAGTCGTATTTTCCCATCTATCGAGCCACTAATGAAAAAATTATCATCCATGGGATTGAATTCTACACAAGTGACTGCATCAGAAATATGAAATTAACACATGTATGAGGTGATCCTCCAGTAAATTCAGAAAATTACTTTGGTAAGAAGAGTACAAGCGTAGAAATCGGCTCACCATAATTATTATGCGAGTACACACCAACGCATTTATCATGTCCTACTTGCCAGAGACGAGCTGTTTTATCCACAGAAGATGACAGCAGATACTGCAGCAAACGATGTCGCACATGAATTACAGCTTATTTAAAAGATATTTCAAGCTTAAACCAGCGAGATATTATACTGACCCCATTTTTGGACCATGAGAGGGCCAAGACTTCACCCGTATGCCCATGGAACTCGTGCAGTGGTTTCTCCATTATCCGGAATAACTTTGGTGGGAGGACAACACAAGCAGATTCCGATGATTTTCTCATCATTTTCATCCCGCTGATCTTCTCTTTATAGTCATTGAGCGAAACTAATTTGGACAAATGATTCAGTGAGAAGTATAAACAAGAGGGGTCAACATCTTGAACATTAAAATCTTTAGGAATATCATCTTCGGTCACTCTCCAAATGCGCACCGTGCCATCTTTGCCCGCACTTGCCAAGTATTGGCCACAAGGACTGAACTTCATTGTTATGATAGAGCCTTCATGTGCAAGGAACTCTTGGCCTGTGTAAAGCGAGGACAGTTCTTTTGACTCCTTCTTACTGGTGTGGACCCGAACTCTTTGACTACCAACCCCCGACTTTAAATTAAACTCCCGGGCAGTCGATTGGACTCCCTTTGTCCTCTCTTTATGTCGGGTGGAAATCGTGAGTTTTTGAAGCAAACTTCTCACTTTCGACTTTGTATCAACCATATTGAATCCCTTAATATCTCTGTGCAGCAATTGCTGAATCAAAGCCGATGAGCCAAGATTTCTCTGAAACTCTTCAATAGTGAATAACCTGTTTGTACCTACTTCACGTAATCGGCTAAGCATCCCATCCTGTCCCAACTCATCCGCAACAAACTCTGATCCGTTGTCCAGATTCCTAATTTTCCAACACATTGGATCCTCTACAGCATCCTCCTCCAATTCCAAAGCTTCATTTGACTGGGAAGATCGACCGGAGAAAAAGTTGCCTTCGGAATCTGAGTTTGCGAGCACAGTGTCATTGCCATCCCTAATTCTATCGGCATTCTTCTTGCTTTCATCAGAGCATACACCATTCATTTCAAGTCCATCACGTCTGTCACAGTTCGAGTTCAAACCCATCCATTTCAAGAATCTATTGCGACGTTCATCAACACTTTCAGGATCCTGAGTCCAAAATTCATATCCCAAAGCACAGTCAACAATCTCATTACGAGTACAAGCATCAGAACTATCCGAACCCAAATCAGAGAGAGAACTAATCTCATCACGTATATCAAAGAAAGTATCTTCTTCAGTCTCACTGTAAGTTCCCATCTTTCTTCAAGTTCAACCCTCAAACTACTCCTTTGAAAAGAACATAGAATCAAATCAGAAGCAAACTTCAAAAGCATGATAACTTTTATATTGTCAATCAAACAGGAAATATCACTTAACAAAACCAACACATTTCGACAATTCACACCACCGATCCCACAAGAAATCCCTATCAACNCCCCCAATTAACAAAAGGGAAGAAACTTTAAGGTCCAAAATTCCCATATGATCAAGAATTGAGCAAAAAAAATCCCCCAACTAACATAAAGGAAGAAACTTTAAACTCTTAAATTCCAATATGATGAAGAATTGAGCATAAAAAAAACCCAATTATGAAAAAATAAAACAGATCTTTCAAAAGGGTAATTAAGCAACCAAGTTAATATAAAAAAGAACAGTAATCAATTGTACATAGCCGACAGAAAACTAAAATAAACATGCTTATACAGTTATACAAATTCAAACAATAATAATTCGCTATTATCTGTTAAAAAATAAAAGATTTTGCTTACCTTAATTAATTTCCATGAAATTATGAAAGAGCCCCAGATATTATTTCATAAAAAGATGATCTTTAGCATCCACTAAATGAAATGGAGACTTGAGAACAAAGTGAACTGAAGTCAAACAATTCTCAAAAATAGATTAAGTAAAATACTAAGATAAAAAGACAAAATCGCAGGAAAAATGGGAAATGATCCCAAAGATGTGAAGTCAATAAAATTGAAGATTTTGAAGAAAAGGCTTAATGTCTGAAAATTCTGGCTTTCACTTTCAATGGAGTGGACAGACAAATTTTGTAATTTATGTTGACGGTTTTACCCTCCCCGCCTTTGTTGTGTCCGTCCAACTAACGGTTGTAACGATTCGTGTCATATCTGTTAACTCCCACCAAATTAAATGCTCCTTTATTTTTGGTTTATTTTTGTTAATATAATAGTCTATAAAGTTCGTTTTATATGATTGCGTTTAATTAAATAAGGCATTTAAGAAAAAAAATTCTACATATTAAAAAATTTCATTACGAATAAAATGAGAAAATTAAAGAGCTTTAAAATATAAATAAGTATTATTTTCTTAAATGATTAAAAAGCACAGTGATTGCATATAGAAAATGTATATAATACTTGATAGAAAATGTATATAATACTTGATCTGTTATACGAGAATTATTATGATGCTAATAAAAAAGATGATAAGATTTGCGTAACTATATAAGGATTAAACTATCATTTTTATGACATCTCATATTATTTAACTGTTAGTGTTGATATATACGTGCGGAAAAAATGTTAATTTATATGTTGGTTCCTTACATTTCTTAAAGTAAAATCCACATTTTTGAAAATTTTATTAAGAATACCACAATTTATAAATTAAATATGTTTGGTAGGATTTGGTGTATCCTACCTTTTGTCTCATACCTACTTTCTGACAAATTAATCAAATGGATTATAGATGTATTGTACATTAATTGTATAGTACTTGTAATTGAGATAAATTTGTATAGTTAAGAATTGACATCGATAAATTAAAATTCAAGTACTTAATCATCATTTTCCTATAAAGACATGAAATTTTAGCTGTAAAAGATCAATATTTTTAGGTCCCTTCTTCGTTAGAGAATAGGTGCATTAATTAAGTCTATATTATCATGCTGAAGATGGAAGTTATTTCCTCTTTATTTTTTGAAACTTGTCATGCACACAGAAATTATTAATTGAACAATAGCAACAAAAAAAAAAGTAATTTATCATGTCGTTCGAGCCAACTTACCTGCATATTAAATATTTTATTAAATTTTTGCTAACTTCACAAAAGGTCATCCAACTTATCATTTATTTCACAAAAGTTACTTATCTATTTTTCATCACTTAAAAGTCATTCAACTTTACCTTCGTAACTTAAAAGTCATTCTAGTTCAAAACCTATAAAATATCCAATAAAAATATGACATGGCATTATATTTAATTAAAAAATCTAACAATAATGTCACATAAGCTTAAATAGACCATATCTAAGTTAGACACATATGTCAACAATTATTGGCTTATCTGAAACAAGATATTCGTCTCTTATGTGGCATTATGTTGAAGGCACCCACCCCATACAACTAGTGGGGGGAGGGGGGGTTGTTCCTCTGCCAGGCACTGGACAGGGGTTAGCTCTGTAAATGTGTGGAGCCAAGTGTAGCTCCACTACTTCCCTCCTTCAAGGCGTGATTAATGCGCCTTAAACCTCTCTCTTGAAAAAGAGTATTTTTAGTGGAGTGGAGCCTTAGCACGTGAACCCATAGGAACAGGGCCCTTCTTCTTTACAAAAAAGCTTCTGAATTATCATCACATCAGTAGGCGCAGAAAACTCAGATGGATTAGGCGAGGATAGGATTCGAACCGATGACCAAGTTGAAGGCCAAACTGATACAGCAAAAGATCCAGTTGATGGTCATGGGAACAGTAGCGATCGGCTATTTCTTCCTCAGCTCGATTTGACCTATAACCAAAATTGGTTATTAATATTTGAATAATTAACTGGACTAGCACTTTGATTTTGTGGTTAATTTGTAGAAAAAGAAGTGTAATAGATCAAATACACAAATAACGGACTGATATATATTGATACTGAGAACAAATAATTACACTGAAAAGTAGCAGCAACTAAGGGTAGTAACAGAAAGAAAGAGGATGGGAAGACAGAGCCATAGAGAGAGAAAGGAGAGAGACCAGGAGAGGAAAATTTCCAAAATAAGAATTCGTATAACCCTACACTTGCACGAACTAATAATTATAATAACTGTATTCTCTCTTGTCCAGTAATTCCTTGACACATGTACCTCAACCTAGGTCCCAATTATAGTTTAATAACCTCTCTTTGTCCTTAAGGTTCGAGTATAGCCTTATCAATGAGGAAAGAGTGTTGACATGAGATCCCATTAAGCTGCGTTGTCTTTGTTGCTGAATTGGGTATGATGGAGTTGAATGTGAAGCTAGATACTGCAATATGTGAAAATTCCTCATCTGACCATAGTTAACAACTCTGTTTCTTAACTCCAACATGTTTTGATCAATCACAATAGCATGCCTTGAAATTATCAGGCTAAGAAAAGAATCATAGACATATGTTGTTTTCTTAGTTTTGGGGCACCGCAAGTACATGAAGAACGTCAAGTGAGGTTTACTATACATTGAAACCCCTAAAATAAAAGTATCACCCAACCTGTTTTCAATTAGACCACAAGTACTAGGTTTGTCCACTGGATAGCAAAGAACAAGGTTACCCTTCCTGCTTATATCAAAGCAAAATGTGTCTAAATATGTAAAATGAGAAATTCTATATTTCACTTTCCCTTTAGCCCATGAACAATCTGATTTCACTAGCTGAGTTAAATAATAAATGATCACCAGTCCACGAACAATCTGATTTCACTAGCTGAGTTAAATAACAAATGATCACCAGTGGTAAATAACAAATGATGTTAATATGCACATCAATCCAACTAGCATCATCAAGGCCATCAACAATATACAAAATAAGTCCACTTAGCATCTTGGATCGAGTTAATAATGCAAAATCATATGTATAACCATCAGCAATACTCTCTAAAGAAATCAAAATACTGATAACAGTATTCTCCCTACATATAGAACCATAGGTGTTCGGAAGCAGAATGTGGGGTCTTGGATCATAAGGATAAAAGTCAAATATAGTGTCCTCTTCGTAGCTACCAAACTTCAAATTGTTTTGTCTCGCACAAGCTCTAAACAAGACACCTTTGATAGTAGCATAGTAGACATATACGCATACTGGACTGCAAGTTGTAGGCACCCCATATAAGGTTACCGTACCAGGTTCAAGCTCTATCCAACCCATTGCCATTTGCGCAATGCCTTGGACGATACCATTTGCAAGCCCCTGTCGTGTGTCCCTTAACAAAAATTTATACCATGATTTTGATGCTGCAGAAAATAACATTTCAGCTGTCACCTCATGAGATAAACAAATCACTGGAGTAGTTATTCGTCTCTTATAGTCACGAGCCACAAAAATAAAATTTGCTGTCAGACCAACTGATACTGAACTACTGTCCCTAATCACTGGCTTCGGTTTAAATTCAAGTTGCATTTCAATTGAAGAAAAACTAACCTGGCTAATTACACCAACCATTTTAAGAGCATTGTCAACACTGATCTTCAACACCATTTTGTCAAATGAATTAGTCACCACATAGAATGGTCTAGTCATGCAAGAAACAACCAAACAATGTTTTAAATTATTTAGTAGGCTGCCACTATCAAGCGCGAAGCAAATTGTGTGCACTATGCTTCTCCATTTTTCGGTATCAGCATATAAATCTAATGCACTACTAGGATGATGTAAAGGTAAAATATCAGCAGGCCAAGTATCAAAAAGCATATCACTTGTCAGAAAGCTAGAACATTGTTTAATGTTGCGCACATTATTTGTTGCTACATTTTTGCGGGCATCAACAGTATTTCTCAACTTGAGAAAACATGTACCAGGATCGAACGAGAAGTCTATAATGGGAATATGGCATGTAATCTCAAATAATATATTTGTATATCCAAGTAGGGTTGTGCAGTGTACAAAAACACTAGTCTCATTCTGCCTTAATGCTAAATCACCCTTAGCTGCCAAAATTGGTTGACACATCTCATTGAACACTGGGTGACGGAAGTTACTGAATCTTCAACATTCATTTCAATCTCTTTATCGGTTATTTCAGCAAACACCTTGCAGGCATAGCTCCGCGAATATTCTTCCTTAATATTTTTTTTCCAGAGGAGTATTTGAAGTCCCAATGCAACCAAATGAAACCAGTAAGGAAGAAAAATGCAACGAGTTTGAAGAATTACCCAACGGATTTACTAGCTCAGGAAGTACCCCAGGCTTGTGCACGGGACTGGAGAGTCCTTTATCCAAATTAAAATCCAACTCGGATTCTTCGATAACAAAAGGTGTTGAAACCTCTTCTGATTCTCGTGTATCTTTCAAAGACACAACCACATCCGAATGCTCTGGAGCGAGGGGAATCGTCTTGGAAGAGGGAGAAAGTGCGTTCTCAATGTTGTCGAGGTGTATGAGCATATGAGAATTGTTTTCCATCATCTTCATTATTAAATCCTGGATGATGTTGAAGTGATACGTTATAACGGTAGAAGAGCAGACATCCACGATGTCCGAATCGATGAAAGCACCAATGTAATAGATCAAATACACAAATAACGGACTGATATATATTGATACTGAGAACAAACAATTACACTGAAATAACGAGGATGGGAAGACAGAGCCATAGAGAGAGAAAGGAGAGAGACCAGGAGAGGGGAATTTCCAAAATAACAATTCGCATAACCCTACATTTGCACGAACTAATAATTATAATAATTGTATTCCCTCTTGTCCAGTAATTTCTTGACACATATACCTCAACCTGAATCTAAATTATAGTTTAATAACCTCTCTTTGGGCTGGTTAATACTCTGACTCGTGTATAACCCATTCCCAAGACCAATCCATTCGTTTTTTTGTACCTTGTTCATTACAATACTCCCGCCCTCAAAAAGAACCTTGTCCTCAAGGCTCGAGTATAGCCTTATCAATGAGGAAAGAGTGTTGATATGAGGTCCCATTAGGCTGCGTTGTCTTTGTTGATGAATTAGGTATGATGGAGTTGACTGCGAAGCAAGATACTATAATATGTGAAAAATCCTCATCTGACCATA